GGAATGTTCCAAATGGAAATACATTTTGCAAATGGATGGGGATTATTTCTTTTTTCCATTCAAATAAGCTATCGATCGATTATTACGAACAAAGAACGGGCCGGGTTAAGTACGAGATAGGTATATAATTTACGAAATTCTCTTGTCTTACTTTATTATATATTTATGAATCTGTTCACGTAATTCTTAATTAAATAAAAATCAATAGAAGCAAAGTCTTCAAAATTGTTATAAATAATCTACGATATTATATTAACTCAATATTGGACTATTCTTTTAGTTTAAAGCATCATTCAAAACTTCGCAATTAGTGGTTTCAATTACACTTTATATTTTTTAGTTTACGATCATTCGCAATGTTTAAAAAACACAATTAAAATTAATAGAATATGCTAGCAACAGCTCGCGTTAGTAAATTGTTGTATCCATAGAGAAAGCCTAATATTTAGCTTATAAAACAATCAAGTATTTTATTTTTATAACGACAATTTCTCTTGAGGGAAGATAATCAAAGGTCAAAATGACATTTCTGGCAAATTTTGGAGTATAATTAGTGGAAAAGTTAAAAGTTTGATAACTTTTTCTACTAATTGAAAATGTCCACCACTAATTTTGATGTTCTGAATGCTTACATTGAAATTACATGATAATTATTAGATTACATTGATTACAGAAGCTGCTACACGCACACTGGTGCCATCACGGCCGCGATCACGATCTCCACGCGGCCGCGGCCAAAAATTGCTGAAGAATATAGTCTGTCCATAAAATAATAAATACAAGAAGAAGTGTCAAGTCAATGTTAAATTATGGAAACAGCTTGGCTGCCTGGGTAACTAATTTTCAGATATTGCGGCTGGGACATTTGACATGACATAGACATGACAATTTCAATTTTATGAAATTTATTTCCGTTTCCGGTTTTTAATGGCGGGCTGTTCAGGAGGTTTAAATGAGGTTTAATATACTTTTTACTCTTTCTAGTAGTAAATAATACAACAAAATTACTCAAAAATATTTATTTGGAATTTAGAACAATGTAAATATGCAAATCAACACAATTAAAGAGCTATAAACCAATAAACTACTGTATCAATATCAAATATTTAAATAATATCAGAGATGCTGTGTTAAAGTGAATTAGTAAAGTAACAGTGCATTGACTTACAGAAACTTGAAGATAAATAAATGTTTTCACAGCTTCACGGGCATAAAACTAAATAACTGGAAGCAGGAACAAGGCAACCGGAACCCACATAAAACCTGGAATCAAAAAAAAAAATATGTAAAAAACATAAATATAGGTACATAAGACTTTTGTGAATTAAATCAAACAGGACTTGAATGAAAATAAAATGAATAAAAAATATAATACATATACATCTAATACCTCATTTGTATTTTAAAAATAATCTACATACATAGATTTATAGCATTATTGCTATGAAAATACATAATAGGTACCTATGTGATATGTAATTACGCATTTCTGTTCATCTTGTAGAAAATTAATGTAGACTAATAATAGTTCAATAATCATAATTTACCTTGTATAAATTAGAGATACGGAAAAATCCTTGGCAAAGAATATCCCAAGATCCTTGGGTTTAAAGCTAAAAAAATATAAAAACAGTTAATATATTACCTATTTTTACATATAATATGGCCCATACCTACTACACGCAGAAACGTCGATTTCATCATTTTCTTCATGTAATTAATATCATATATATACTTTATTAAAGTGTTAACAAGGAACTTTATATCAAAAAACATCTTTGTACTTATAAATTTCAGCCGAAATATCAGAAACAAACTTCCAATCAAATCTAAACAGCAAAAATTAAAATGGCGCCCGACCTTGCCAGAGGCCTCGGGAGCTGACGCTGACACACAGACAAAAGACAAAAGAACAGGACGCCGACGTGCATAAAAATGTTCCGTAGCAGAAATTGACAGAAATCATATAGAAATATTCAGATTTTTGTCTAGGACAGTCTAGAAGGCCATGCTTTCTGCCTGGGTAGAACCGCGCCACAACTGTTTCCAATTTTCCGGTTTACTGTCACCCCCCTGAGTCTGTCCAACGAGAAGACCCTTGACAGTGATAGATGTGTCTGTCATTTTAATTTCAAAGTAGTTTATTTTATTTTACAAAGAAATAAGTTGGTACAACTGGAACGCATAGCAGGAAATATTTAAAATTTGATTGACAAGATGACAAGTAATTACTTCAAAATATTGTTAAAAAAACTGTATAAAACTGAAAAAATGTAATCGAGTTATTTTATTTAATAAAAACGGTATGTGTTAATACAAAACAAACAAGAACAAGACACTACATACCAAAAAAATATAAAAAAGAACTATTATTTACTTTCAAGCTTTATGAAACTACCCGCATTTATGATTATATTTATCACTATAACTTATGTACAAATACAAATTTGTAATATTCCACAGGAATAAATAAAACAACATAGGTAAATAAAACAAACTATTTTATTAATAATAACACCTACCAAATTTTATACCTTAAAGGTTGATTAATTAACTTTAATCTTAATTTTTTTAAACCAGTACCTTTTGACATTATTTTTCTGCAGTACTAAAATCCATTATTTACCTATCGTGTGATGTTGATATTTTACAGCTACTCCAGTTTTTAGTATCTGTTTAGTTTGATCCTTCTACCATATACGAGATGGCACTTATCTACGACGAAATGGTATACAAACTTTATCGATGGCAACTTCATTGGTGTATAAGACTTTCTGCCTGGGCAGCGAGTATTAACCATACACTGTGCTCTGGGTCTACAGTTAATTTTCACTCGATTTTTCCTCCACTTGACTTCAAAAGACACAAAACACACGTAATAATACGAATCAAAATGCATCATCTTCCAAAACGCAGGGTATTTAACAAAAGTTGACACAAAATTATAACCTATAATTTGGCAAGACTTTGACAAGCGTCAAAAAATGACAAAAATCTAAAGGCGAGTTCATACGCATCGGCGTCTGTTTGTCGTTCATCGTTCCGTCAAACCAATAAAATTGAAATACGATCTGTCATTTTTTAAATAAACCAATAAAACTGGTTAAAAACAACAAGACACGACGTATGACGGATTTATATTTAAACCCATCCATAGATAACTTAAAAATTATTAGAAACTTTTTTTAGTAAAATAAATAGATTGGTATTGGACGTCATCTGCTTTTCTTCAGTCATCGTCTGTCGAAATCTTACCTGAGAAAAAAAACAGAGTATACATATGAGCCGTTTCACATTGGCGCGATCGAGTTTTGGAGACGAAGGGGCCTGGCGGCGTTCTATTCTGCGGTGGCGTACAGATTCAACTTGTCTAGTTTGATCGTGTGATCGCCACCCAACTGATAGGAATTTTCCATTATTTTGTGTGTTTTTTCTTGTTGCAATTTAAAAATGAAGTTAACAGAGCAGCTAATTAAGGCTGTAAAAATACACAAAATTCTATATGATTTATCCGATCGAAAAATTAATAGAATTAAAAATACAAAGTTTGAGACAAAATTGGAGTTGCAATTGGATTGGATAGTACATATGTATACATTTGTATTGTTTAAGTTTAAATATTGTAGGTAAATATTTAACAATGTTTTTTTTCGGTATACATAATTCACATTGTACCTATGTATACCTACAGGATAGCTCACTACATATAGGTACAGCGGTGAACGTGAACGCGTTGGTGTGTGCTAGAATGATCGTTCATGTTATCGCTGCCCTGATCGTGATCGTGATCGCGGCCGTGATCGCACCAGTATTATTATGTATACCGAAAAAACATTCCTAAACATTTACCTACAATATTTAAACTTAAACAATAAAAATGTATACATAATATGTACAATCCAATCCAATTGCAACTCCAGTTTTGTCTCAAACTTTTTATTTTTAATTCTATTATTTTTGTAACTTGGATTGGATAAATCATATAGAATTTTGTGCATTTTTACAGCCTTAATTAGCTGCTCTGTTAACTCCATTTCTAAATTTCAACAAGAAAAACACACAAAATAACGGAAAATTCCTATCAGATGGGTCGCGATCACACGATCAAACTCGACAAATTAAATCTGATCGCCATTAAGGAAGGAACATATAAGAAATCTTAGATAGACCGCGACGGGGTCATAGAATGGTGGACTTAAATTCCGGTTTATCAGTGCCGTTCTAATTACATTCAAAACGTGTAAAAATAAGATGTAGTGTAGACATGGGGTAGACTCAATAATTTGTTGTTTTATTTTACGTTGTCATTAAAAGTTGGTAGTTATTGAAATTGTTATAAAAATATACAATTCTAATAAAAATAGATATAGTTATAATTATTTATTAACACGAACATTCGATACGCTACTGAAGCAGGTAAGTCAAATTGACGTATCTAAATTCTTTGACATCTAATCTTTGACAAGTAGCAAAGAACAGCAAAAACGCAAAAAAAAATATATAATTAGTTAATTTATGTGAATTTCATAAATGATAGGTTTACTACACGTATGTATATTACCAATATAGTCACTACTAGTGAAAATGTATTACATTATTTTCCTCGATTTTTGACCGAGATCTAACGCACGCTACACAACCAACTATTTTACGGTCTGTTTCGATAAATTGTAATAGTGTCACTGATAATTTAAGTTTTGCCACAATTTCCTTCTGAATTTACTACTTTTAAACAACTACCAGTAGTAGAATAAATAATAAATAACATAAAATAAGCTCAGTAAAGACTGACAAATTCACAAAATTTCAAATCAAATTCAAATGTGTCAAATAAATCGTCAAACAGAACTGTCAAGGATCTCAACCCTAGGGCCCTTTGTCCGTCTACCATGCATGAATACATGGATAGCATTATACTCCTTCCTTACTTTTTAATCAAATGTTTCATTAAGTTATTTTTTAATTATTTATTTATTATTAAGTGTACTTTTTATTTGCAGTGGCTCTACGATTGATGTGCCTGTTCTCGATAGAGGTGGTAGTGCTGTGCGACGTCCTAGAATCGAACAGTTGCATATTTAATCCGATGTGTTCATGCTCAGAAGACCAAAACTATCTCAAAACTCGATCTATGCACAGTATTACCTGTTTGTCAACGCAGTACTACAAATTTCCAAGTAAGTATTAGATCATGTTTGTCTTAAACTGTATAAATTGCTCTATAGTTGACTTACCCTCTACAAAAAGTCCCATTTTCGTGTTTTAATGGGGTTCCTTGTTTATGAGTAGAGATACAAAGACACGGTCATTTTTATGAAACTAAAGATGCTATACACAGATTTGTCATAGCCTTCTTAGTTCCTGAAATGTAGTGGAAATTTGAGAGTTTTTCGCGTAGAATTTAGTGATATAATTAGTTTTTCGCTGGGATCTGCCATGTTGGCAATTTGCCTCAAATTTTTCACTCTGTATATTATTTTTTATATTTTATTTGCCTTGATATGAGCATTTACTTTCTGTGGATATTGCGTCCTTGTTTCGACAAACCTGTGTTGGTTTTCTTTGTTCCAATATCGATAATTTTGAACATTGGGTTCATTATTTAAGGTAAACTTGCATTCGTCAGTGAAACATATGTTTTTTAATGATATGGTATATATATTATTAATATGATATAGTCAAATTATTATTTATGCTATTGCTCCCAGTTACAAAGCAAGTTGCGCCATTGAATTCTACGTGAAAAATTACGAGACTCAGTTACCCTGTTACCGAAAAATTATGAGACCTCAGTTACCATTCTTTAAAAAATGACGTCACCAGTGGCGGATACAGAGGGGGGGCCCATGTTGTTATAGAAGATACCAAGGGGGTCGAGAATTGCAATATTTTCAAATTCGCCCTGTACTTCAGAAGCCAATGTGGCCAATCTGTGTGCAGCATATTTAGTTTCATAAAAATATGGCACAGTGATAAAAATCGCATCTTTGTAACTCTACTCATAAACGAGAAACCCTGTAAAATACACGAAAATGGGACACCCTGTACAACAAAAATATGCCGTTTCCTATAAAAATTCATTACGAACCTTCACATCGATTTAGGGATCATCCCAATAACAGACCCGGCGATAAATCTTCCAAATGTCATGAAAAAAAAAACATGAAAAATTGTCGGGGATTTTCGTTTTTACAAATTCGGTTTAGGTTAAATATATTCTCGAAACGATTGTAGAATAGAATAAAAATCTTATCTAAGAAAAACAAATCAAAATTATTCGTGTTGTATATTTTGTTAAAATAGTTAGTTAATGGTCCTAAAAATCCTAAAAAGTCCTGAAAATCAAAAGGTTATGATAATATCATTTCTATTACATTCTTTGATAGATAGATATTATTAATTCTGATTAACGTAATTTTTTTTGCTATTGTTAAAGTATCACATTTTCCGATAACTATTATCACCCTTTCCGTAGCATTGAACTAAATAAATTCGGTGCTCGATAGATTTTTTAGGTAATACTGGATTAGTTGGGATTCGAAATCAAACAGAAATCGCCCTTTAGTAATTAAATTTAGTAGTTAGAAAAGGGATCTTTTGGTGTTAGTGTTCGATTAAGTAGATTGTCCAAAACTAATTTTAATACCTCAAGGATAAAGGTTTAACGAAAAATAAATTGTGGTGGAGAAAATATGTTTTGAGCTCCGGGGTGCTTTTTTGACAGAGGCGTCTATACGGAAGGTGTAGTGGGGGAAATTACCTTAAATAAAATTGTCCAAAAGGAATTAATAATTCCAATCAAAATATACAAAATTCAGGCCAATCCAAGTTATTGTTTCCGCAGTGACATTACCTTTCAGTGCTAATTTACTTAACTTAAACCTCGTAATTTACGCCAGTAACTCTCCCAGACTCAATCTTTAGATGCGCCGCTAACCGAGAACAGTAATAATTGACCTAGGGGATGTTTTAACCTTCATCAAAAATAGCTGGAAAACAAGGGTCCAAAAATTTATTTTTCTCACAAAGCCAAGGTATCTAAGCCGTCAATGGAGTATATATTCTGAACCTACATAAAATTTCCTACAAATTCTAAATTTTATGACTATGTTTTCTATGTTTCTAAGGCCTTTGGAAATGTGTACCGGGTGGCCAACTAAGAATGAACGCCGGCTGCATCTCAGAAACTTCTTCTTAAAGTGCCTTCTCCATTCAGTGAAGATCGGCAACAACCATGGCAAATTCCTCTCTATTTTTCGCTCTTCTCAGCAAAGTATGTGAGTCCAGGCCTGTCCAATCTCTGATGTTCTTCAGCCAGGAGCATTGCCGTCGTCCGGGTCCGCGCTTTCCCTCAATTTTACCCTCTATGATGAGCTGAAGGAATTCATACTTGCTATGTCTCCTGATATGGCCCAAATAGGCTGCTTTCCTCTTTTTTATTATGTCGAGGAGTTCTCGGTCCTTGTTCATTTGGTTTAGAACTCGTTCATTCGAGACACGGTCAGTCCATGGTATTCTCAGCATTCTGCGATATACCCACATCTCAAATGCTTCCAACTTATTCATTGCGCTTACTTTGAGTGTCCACGACTCAACCCCGTAGAGAAGTGTGGAAAGTACGTAGCACTTGACGAAGTTGTCTTTTATATGGATGCTGAGACGTTTATCGCACAGTAGGTTCCGCAATTTTAGGAAGTTTGATCTAGCTATCTCAATTCGAGCTCTGATCTCAATGTCTGGGTTTAGGTCTTCACTAATCCAACTGCCCAAATATCTAAACTTTGAGACTCTTGCTATTGGTGTCCCACCTACGACTACCTCCGTTGCCTGTCTTGCATCTCTATTTATCACCATGACTTTTGTTTTGTTTGTATTTATCCTGAGACCCATTGAGTCGCCCACCGAGGACAGTCTATCAAGAAGTCTTTGCAGGCCCTCAGTGGTGTTTGCAATAACGACGGTATCATCAGCATATCTCATGTTGTTAATCAGCCTGCCATTCACTTTTATGCCGTCTTCTGATCCCTCAAGCGCATTTCGAAATATTAGTTCGGAGTACATATTGAAGAGCATAGGGCTCAATACGCATCCATGCCTAACTCCACGCTTGATAGGTATTGCTGTTGTTTCAGTGTCCTGTAGTTTTACTGTCGCTACTTGTTGTTCGTATAGCTTTTGGATACTTTTCAGGTCTTGGGTATCCAGGCCTCTTCTTTCAAGGATGCTCAGCAATTCCCTGTGGTTGACGCAGTCGAATGCCTTCGTGTAGTCTAGAAACTATTACTCTATCTCAGAAACTACTTATCGTATAACATTGGGAAAAAAATTCTAATAATTAAATCGACCAAGAAAAATCGCTGGAAATTATTTTCAAATTCAAAAAATGTCCGCTAGGGGGCGTTTCTCTGGTAGCCAATTAGAAAACAAGTTTTTTTTCTCAAAAATATGGCAGGTTGTAACAGGTATTTTAAATATTACTATTGTAATCATCGAGAAATTTGTATTTTTATTTGACAAAGAGTATTTTGCTATATCTCACAAAATAAAGTGGTGGGGGAAGGTTAAATTTGCTTTTATTAAAATAAGGATAACTCTGGTTTAGGTTATCCGATTTAAACAAACTAGGGCTCGTTTAAAAGAGCTTTTCTTCCTCAATGATCTCCAGTATAAATTTCTTTTCCTTAATTTTTTTTTGTGGTAGCCAGAGGGCGCTGTTTGACATCATAACAGATATTGCGCTTTTGCGTAAAAAAAATTAAATAGTAGGTTATGTTTCTTTTTACACAGTTAAATAGAGCACAAAATTTCCAAAATATAAGCGCAAACTGCAACTTTCTATCTTCTCTCTAACCGAAGATATTAAGAGAACAAATCATGTTAGGCTGCCGCTTATGGTCTAAAAATTATATTAGTAGGCTAGGAAAAAAAGAGGTAATTTTGTTACGTCGAAATATCAAAACGTTTAAGTTCAATTTTCATGCATCCGAATTTCGGGCGTTTTCTTTAAAAATTGACGTCACCAGTGGCGGATACAGAGGGGGGGCCCATGGGGCCCGGGAAGGTTAGGTTAGGTTAGGTTTAGGTTTGAGGAAGAAAAGCTCTTTTAAACGAGCCATAGTTTGTTTAAATTGGGTAACCTAAATCAGAGTTATCCGTACTTAAATAAAAGCAAGTTTAATTTCCTTAAAAAGCAGTTCCACCACTTCATTTTATGAGATAGAGAAAAATACTTTATATCAAAAAAATTACAAATTTCTCGATGATTACAATAGTAATATTAAAAATACCTGTTCAGTTGCATATTTTTGAGAAAAACCCTGTTTTCTGATTGGCTACCAGAGAAACGCCCCCTAGCGGACATTTTTTGAACTTCAAAATAATTTCCAGCGATTTCTCTTGGTCGATTTACTTATTAGAATTTTTTTTCCAAAGTTATACGATAAGTATAACAACCTATAATATAGGTCGTTATACTTATCGACTTAATTGTCGTTATACTTAATTGTAGTCTTACGAGAACAGTAATTGATGTAGGGGACGTTTTAACCTTCATTAAAAATGGGGTAAAAAAAGGCAAGGTACACAAGCCCTCCAAACAATACATTTTTTTGTCTTTGCCTAACACTGTTTGACAGAACTGAGATGTTACTGACATGTGTGAGACTATACCCTTATTCAGAAAATTTGATAATTATCAGAGGAATAAAATTATAACTACCAAAATACATATAGTTACTGGTAACTTTGATCTCCTTTGATGTAAGTTCGACGTTTCCAACTATACGAGTATATTCAGCATATTTCATCACTTGAAGAATTACTTAACACCAACGGTCTAGAAAACGGAACAGTATCTGAATATATCGAGCACACATCGCTGTGCATAAATCAAAATTGTTTTCAGTTAAATAACTCTGAATAGCGGTTGTACGTCTTGGAATTGAGGGAAAGGACTACAATAGGCAATCATTGCCATCTCCCTTTTTTGGCTAATATATTCATGAGGGAGGGGTGATAACAAAAAAAAAACAGTCTATGACTGGATAATATTTGTCATCTTTGCTACAAAATGTATTATAAAAGTTGTTTGAAAAATAGAGCATCAGCTTTGTTTAATAAATTTTGTTTTTCATGTTTTTCATGTAGATTGGTATAGAACAATTAATTGAACATTTCA